GTGCGGGCGACCCAGGGGACTTTGACTACACTATGAAGCACCAGGGAGGGGAATTTGACCTATGCATCAACTCCCAGAGTCGGGAAATTTTGACATCCGCTATCTTGAAAGTTTGCGCGGTTTTGACATTAAAAGGCCTGGTAACAAGTATGGCGGAGAAGCACGATCAAGTTTCATCGAAAAAGGTATTTTATACACAGTGTCTCAATTTTTACCAAGTTTAAACCAGTATAAACTGTATGTTCGCATTGGAAAACATATGTGTGTCTTGTTATCTTTGACAGCCGTTCCTAGCCAAACAGTGGAGATTTTGACGACAAAATTTTAAAAATGTCAAAATTCCCCTGGGTTGCCCGCACCCCCCCCCCCCCCTCAGGGGGAAAACATTGATAGGTGCATAACACGACTACACGAGGCTAAAGTATGCCCGTTTGCAGGTTAGATGCGGGCACGACGTAAACAATTGATGTAACCTCATCGCTGATTGGCTTAAATTGCCTGAAATTATATAAGCTCGTCGCTGAATGGCTATGTGTTAACATACGGTACGGTCACGTTTGCGATAGCAATATATCTGCTTCGCAGATACAAAAACCAGTATATAAAGCCGTTTCATAGGGTTATTTTGAAAAAACAGTGCGGTTTCCATGGTTACCAGTGCAAAATATGATAGTGCATTTTATAAAAAAACCCAAACAACTGGAAATACCTGATATTATTTTAAAAACCAATTGTGTATGAAAGATTAGTGCCTAAACTTTCAAAAAATATTGTTTTCAAACAATTCAATTTTTCTTATTTTTTCCCTATCGAGCGTTGTGTTTGGTGATTATAGACTTAACGTTGTTCATGCAACTATAGCTTACTTTTAAAGTGTTTCTGTTAAAAATCTTGTGTAGTCTGTGCTGTAGTGGAAAGTGTTTGTCAATTAAACTTAAGGATTCCCGTCCTATGTTCTTGTTAATTAACACTCTTACTAAATGGTGGGTTGAACCAAATTATGCTGCGTTGCCTATTCCTACGTGTCCGTTGTGAAGCATCCTGAGTGTACGTAAATTCGTGATCAAAGTTGCTTTAAACTTTAAAGAGACCCAAACACCATTTCACGGTTCAGATGGCCGTCACAGAGCCAAAGAGTAAAGATATAAAGAGAGTTCACTCGGTGAAAAAGGCAGTGTGGTCACACCACAGAGTAGATAAGACATACAGAGACGTAACTGACCGTTGTAAACACTGCGGAAGATTACGTTATCATGTACCCACTTATTTTCAGGCGACCGGTCGAAAAATGATCAACTGCGCGTGCTCAGCAAGTTTAAAGTGAGTCGTCATCAGGTCGTCATCCAATCAGATGCATGCATCTAGTAACTTGCCGAGCATGCGCACAAAAAAGTGGGTACACTAGTTACGTCTCTGTATGTCTCTACTCTGTGGTCACACGGATTTGCGAAGCTGACGCCAATTACACGCCATCAAAAGCAAATTAAATTGATTCCAAAAAGATTTAATATGCCGCAGCCAGTACCGTCGCTGCGTTTTCAGTCAAAACTATAGGGAAAACGTAGTTCGAAATGCAAAAAGTCGCATTTTTAAGGAAAAGAGGCTTTCGAGCTTCATATCTGGACAAAATTTTTGAACAATAACAGTAAGTGATCTTTTCTATTCACATATAAGAAGTGCGGGTGAGCTTTTGAAAAACTTTTATTTGATTTTGAAAGTTGAAGGAGCAATCTGCCCACAGATTGTGATATCCTATATCCTATATATTTCAATGGCAAGACTCTCTGCTTGGCAAGTTGAGTTTGTACTTAATGGGTTAGTATCCTGACAATCAAAATACACAATCTAAATCAGATCAACACACGTATCGAACTCTCAAAGACTGAGACATTTTGGTCGAGACTTGTTTTTGCTAGTTTTTTCTCGTTGAAAAAAGTGAATTATGCTCTTACCTGAACATTATGCACCTATCATTGTTTTCCCCCTGAGGGGGGGGGGGGGGGGGGGGGCCCGGGGGGGTTTGACCACACTATGAAGCCCTAGTGAGGGGAATTTGACCTATGCATCAACTCCCATAGTCGGGAAATTTTGACATCCGCCATCTTGAAAGTTTGCGCGG